CTGCTTTATCATCAAAACAATTTACAGTGTGAACAGATTGATATTCCCGACGCAGCCCCCGATTCGTTATGGTGTTCAGTAAAACTCTCCAAAAATGATAGATGTTAAATGGGTGTTGTGTATCCACCTCCCGGATCTTCAGACTCAGCCAACGAGATTCTGTTGCAAACCATGAGGAATGCGTTAGCACTAAAGTTCACCCATGCCCTCATGATGGGTGACTTTAACTGCTCCAATCTCTAAGATCGAGGACTTCCCGCCAGCCATTCTAGAAACGATTATCTCAGTTGATTGGATTGCACCCACTGTACAACCTCGTAACAGAACCGTCAGATTTGGAAGAGGTCACGAACCATCAACACTGAATTTAGTGCTGACTAACGAGGAGTTGATGGTGGAATCTGTCAATGTCACATCTCCGCTAGGACGTAGTGATCCTGCCGTATTGATGTTTGATTACATAGGCTACGCATCTACCCAAGAAAACCGAAAGAGCAGTACTCGTGCTATCACAGTCTAAAAAAGCGCAAAACCTGGCAATAATTAAGCAATGGGTCCTCCCAGAAGATGATCACGATCCTTTGGTGGCATGGAAGAGCTTCACTGATTATCTTACCGAAATTGTGAAAAGTATAAAAACTTGTGCTAAATCTAAAACTCTTCATTCATTCAATCGCAGCCGAACAAAGAAATGAACAGAGCAAAGGAACTTTGCCTGGCGGGAGTACGGAAGATGTTCATCGATCGAATCTTGGAATAATTATCCCTTACTGCGAAATCAGTGTACCAAGTTGGTACAAGAGGACAAATTGATGTACCAAGAAACCCTGGCTCAAAAATTCACTTCTGATCCAAAATTGTTTCATAAACATATTGTGATGGAAAGCAGTTCAAAGGGAGCCTGGTTAGCGACCGAAGCAAGAATGGGGCCCATCTGACCACACGCGCAGACGCAGTGGCGGGAAGTGCCTCGCGAGACAATGTTGACTGCCACCCGAAACGAGCGAATTGACAATTACAGCCCGAAAGACAATTCGCAGCTAGCGGGAAAGATGCCCACCGAATGCCACAACGTCGGAGCTGTCGATCAACGTATCACGCGCTACGATCGGGTCAAACCAGTCGGAATGGCACGTGGAAGAAGAGACAACGTACGTGCCAAGTGCGGACCAAAACCACCAAGGAATGACCTACAGAAAGAGACATAAATCATCCCGCCGCGCGGTTGAGAATTGACTGTATATAATCGAACGCATACCCTGTTGGTTTCTGAATTGGATCAATAGACGTTTTCCCAGCCAGCTCGCCTTCTCGTTACAATATCAATTCTACAAGGAAGGTGAAATGCGGAATATCAGCATTGAGATCGTGCGGACATGTTTCAACCACCACTTTAGAAGCGGCAGACTTCCTCAAAAAACAGTTCTCTCAGGTGTTCACTGCAACGACACGAAGCATTACAGATTCCAAGCAAACTACCCCATACCGTATCCGTCAATGGATAACATGGCTTTTGACAGTGCGAAAGGTAGAACAAAACTATTAAGTTTGCGTAAGAATTCATCACCAGGCGCGGACAACATGCATCCCCGGACTTTGATGTCGCTAGCCAGTAACATTTCTGATCTGTTGATGGAATATCTGGAGAATCATGACTTTTTTCTCCAACCTAGCACGGATTTCGGCACAAACGTTCGTGCACCACAAACCTACTCCTTGCATGGGATGAGTGGACAAAATCCGTCGATGCAGGCCAGCCATTGGACATAGTTTATTTGGACTTCTCCAAGGCATTTGATCGAGTAAACCACCAAATTCTGCTGCAAAAACTCTACAAATACAGAGTAAGAGGTTTGGTTTTGGACTGGATCAAGGATTTTCTCCAACAAAGAACCATGTCAGTTCGTGTTGGTGATTCATTATCAGAGCC